CAGTCTATTCATGTCATCAATGTTAGTCAAATCCGCCACAACTTCTAATGGCTTTTAATAAAATTATATTTTATATAAAACTGTTAATAGTGTTCAAAATATATTACTTTCAATTTATAAGGAGATAACTCTTGTATCTCTTGCGCCACTCTCTTAACTTCATCGCCTTTCCTACCGGTGACCACAACACTGGCCCCTAATATTGAGAATAGTTTGACAATACCCTCACCGATGCCTGAGTTGGATCCGGTCACCAAAACTACTTTTCCCGTGAAATTTCGCGAGTTTTTCACTTCAAAGTAGTCTTCATTATCGAAATCATAGAAAATACTTGAGTTTACTATTGAAAGTAATGACAAAAATACTATAATAAAATTAATATAAAAATTCATATTTAGGAAAATTTTAAGTTATTAATGTTTGTTAAAGAATATTAAAATTAAATTATGTACTTAAGTTTCTACTATTTATATAGGAAAAATAATTTAATGTCATAAGTTATAATGCAATCAATAGATTATTAATACAAAATTAATCTCATTTTTATCATACAATTCAATACAATAATATTGTATTGTATTATGAATAAACTATAAGAAAATATATTATAAATAATAAATTAAGAAATCCTAATAGTAGAAAATATCTACAGTAACATAAATAGCATGTACTGTATGCATAATTTTAATTTTAAATTGCAAAGTTTATATCAAATATATGAATTAGTTGAATCAATAATATTTTATTTGATCTATAAACTGGTTGTCAACTAAAAAATATTATGATGATTATTTTATAAATCAAAAATAATTGCTTATACAGGGTGTTTCGCAATAGCTCGGAGGTTTTATGTAACTAAAAATATTCATTAATATTATTCATTTTAATTGTAAAACATTTTTATGTGTTTACCCTTTATGTTAACTATAAAATAACACCGGAATTGACATTTCAATATTGACCTCCTAATCATGGTCAACCGAAGTTTGCCGCACTTATATTTTAGTATTTTCCAGTGTTGTTAAACATTTAATGGCTCATGATTCATTCAAATTTGGTTCAATTGTTTAAACAATCAAGATTTTAATTAAGAAAATAAGAAATTTTAAAATGATTATGATATTTGTGGACAAATTGATTCCATTTTATGATTTAATAAAATTAATAACTTGTGATTAATTTTGTTGAAGTGAGTAAAAGGTTAAATGGCACATAGATTGGAAAATATTTCTAGGTAGTGATCACCTTTCAATGCTTGTAATTATGTTATCGGAGTTTATTTCAAACTTCTTATGTTTTCAATATAAACTCTAATAAGTAATCTATCAGTTGACACCTAAAACATTACATTATGTTTTATATTTAAAAAGTTTTTACAGTTTCAAATCCTCCGATATATTAAAAAACACCCTTTCTGTATTATATATGAAAATAATAAACAATGAATGACATTATAAACACATAAATAAACTAATTATAATATTTATTTATTTTGAGAACACCCTTAATATCAACATTTAATTTATGAAAATAAATTTTATAGATTAATTTCAATTAATAGATATTAAACTCTTATATAATTCATTCAATTGCATACTAACCTTAAGATGGAAGTGAAGGATCTGTTTCGATATGTGTCTAAATCTCAAGAATACATTGAATCTCATGTGCCGTCCATTTGGCAAAAGTTTGTCAAAGGAGTCAATATGTCACACATTGACTGCACGTATGGACCCCTTAATAAAACTTTGCCTAAATTTGACCATAAGTTACATATTATTGAATACAACAAAGCCGTGAGTAATTAACTCGTAAAAAGATTTTTCACTGTAATTATAAATTGAATGTCTTATAAGATTGAATGGTTTGAATTGGATAGTGATTCTGGGTACCATATGTCATTGATTGTGCCCATACTTATAGAGTTAGGCAAAGCACTCAACTATAGGTAGTATAAAGAGGGCTGAAATAGTTTAATCAATTAAGTTAAATTTAATGATAACTAATATGCAATTTTATTTATAGTTTACATCTATTTGTGACGGATTGCTATGAAGTTAAGGGAAGGTTTCACCAGATGTTAAAAGACGGAGAGATCACATCATTAGACAGAGTGCCACAGCTCTATGAATATGAGATTAATCATGGATTCAATTGCAGTCAACCCTTATATATGTCTAATCGTATGGTTATTTTGAGTCCTGTTGTCAAACTGCCAATCATTTCCATCACCAATCTATACAAACAATTTCATTTATTGGTTTGGTATTGCATTGCTATTGCATTCATTTGTATTGTTTTAATAAATAGATTACTCGCATTCATTCATCCAAATTATAAGCTTCTAAATAGTTTAAGCAAGATCATTTGGATCTATCTTAAGCCACTCATTGGCATTACTGAGAGCTGGAACTTTGGAAATTTTATTTATATTTTATGGGTTTTCTCAATATTTCCGTTGACTTCTGTCATACAAAACGAATTATACGCTAACCTAATGATTACAAACGAGAAGTATTCGCATACTATCGACGATATTCTGGACAAACGGATAACTGTTTTCAGCGATGACTTTAAAATAAGTGATTGGAGAAACGAAATGTTCACTAGAAATTTAGCAGGTTCATTTAAACAGAGTTTCAAAAGATTAAATGATAAAATGTTGAATATGATGGATGAGGCGAAAAATGTGGAGAAATTCATTGAAGAACCGAAAAAATTAATTGAATTAATAGAGAGGAGTGTTATCGTGCAGGACGAGGAGTGGACATCCGTTTTACAGCCATTTTTCGCCAGAATCGTATCCACACATATCGGCAACAAATATATATCCAGTTTAATTACACCCCTATGTTATGGTCGCAACTTTCAGTTTGCGAAGCAAGCACATTTTGTGTAAGTTTAAAATTGCTAATATCAAGTTTCTATTATTTGCTAACATTTAGATCCAGGCGTTTATTCGAGGTCTCACTACTACAGCACTGGTATGAAACAAAGTATGACTTCAACCTCGATCAGGGATTGAAGATATTTCGGGAAACGTTTGGCAAACCGATTGACATATTCTACAGAAACACCACTACTTTGAGTGCAACTCATTTCAATCAAACGAAATCATTGTTTGCATTAATGGTCTCAAGTTTGGCTGTTTCTGGCATTATATTTATAGTGGAGTTTGTATTTTCACATATTATCACAATTATTCATTAACGTAAAATTTAAATAATTGTACGATAATTACATAAATGTGGATTCAGTTTTTATTCTTAAGATATTTATCCAGATTAATTTCCACAAGAAAATACTGATTAATAGATAAGTTACTGGTTATGAATTAAGCAACAAATGAAGCAATAAATATCAATCACTATGTATTAAATCAATGAATTAAAACATGTCTTAATTTGCAAAAATTTAATCTTTATTTTCAATGAAATTAAGCGACAAATTATTTATAAAATTGAAAAACTACTCATTTTAATGAATTATGTATTGAATTATAAAACAAATGTAACGAATACTTAAGTATAAAATAGTATAAAAATATAATAAATAAAAGTATATTAAAAATCCACACAAAAGTGAATCAATCGTTGAGATGGTGTTTCACATTAATGGCAGACTTCCTCTTGAGTACCACCAACTCCTGGAGCCGACCGAACCGTCTGTCCACCCATTCCTCGTGCTGGCCGTCTGTCCACGAATAGTCCTTTTCCTTCAGGAATGACATACCGCTCATGGATTTGCCATTACTTTCCAAACACTTCTTCTGCAACAGTTTCGATGTATTGATGAATGAGTTTAACACAAATCGTTGGCTCATTATTGGGGGCAATGGGTGTCAAAACACAACTCAATTTATAAAAATCAATTCAAAACTAATTTATAAAACTTTTATTCTCAATAAGACTTCAATAAATGACTTTTGATGAGTGACTGAATTGAATGCAGAATTTCAGGCGATATTTATAGCGAAAAAAGTTTATCAAAAAACTAATGATAGGAAAAGTTTCACAAAAATTCTTCCATTGACTTCACGTGCGGTAACTAAACGCTATAACACGGTATATACGCGCATACAAACCGGTACTACACGTGCTGTCACTACATTAGACAACATAATACTAAATACAAAAATACATTGACAAAACAAAAACTCGTGGTATTTATGATAGATAAGGGAATGGGAGGTACGAAGGAAAGCTTGTGACGATAGTGATAAACAACTGACTTCTACCGTATACTGTATTGCAATACACGATGTCAATGTTGTCTGGAATACAGTTGGTGTGTAAAAGTATAGAAATCAGATGTTTGATGACAAAGTCTACTAAATCCAAAAAGTCAATGTATTTGTACAGAAATGTCATTCACTACCACTGATACAGTATAGCACGTGTAGTTAATTTCATGAATTGTGTCTAAAAGGTGGAATAATTTTGATCGGAAAATAAGTAAATACTAAATTTGAAAAATAATAGCTAAACATTTCCAATGAAGTGTATGTGATTTGATTAACTTATACAGTATTAGTACAATATTTCTTAATTATTATTCTTAATAATTTATTACTATTATATGAATTACATAAGATTTTATTTAAAAAGGACACATTTGATAACCAATAAAATAGTGATTACCCGTTAATTCTCAAGTATGTAAACTTTAAACTATTTCATAACTCTTTCTGATTGTGAATGCAATTTACAGACAAATATATAAAAATATTATTCTCGCAAAATGTTTTTTAATCTAATCTTACAGTTATATTCATAGTAAATAATTATCGTTTTTGCCTTTTTTAGTTATAATTTATATTATTTACACATTATGTACGTTAATTGATTTCACTTTATAGACAACATTTATATAATTTCACTAATATTCAAAATAACATGAAATTAGTTTTACTTGTTGCATTTGTTATTTTTATTGAGTTAAAAATCATATGGTTAACTTTTTCAAATAACAATATTTTTATACCAAAACAATATTAAACATTGATAATTAGTTTTCAATTTTAATTATAATATCACTATAAATATACTTTACTGAATGTCCTAGCTACAATTTATTCGATAATTCCGCCGTAATTCCAGGACAGGCCGCCATCGATCACCAAATCAGTTCCGGTAATAAACTGGGCATCGGTTGAGGCCAGGAATGCCACCCCCTTTGCGATGTCCAGGGGTTCACCAAATCTCTTAAGGGGAGCGTTATGTAGAGCTCTTTCCCTCAGTTTCACAATAATTGGGACTTTACTGTCACGGAAACTATCGGTAAGTATAGCACCGGGACTGCAATGAAGGTTATAAATAGTTGTCACAAAATTTTAATGATTTTATTATAAATTGTAATTACCTTAAAGTATTGACTCGAATGTATGGCCCCAATTCTAGTGCCATAACCTTGGTCATCATATCCATAGCCGCCTTAGCCATAGCGTAGTCCAAACCCAGGTTATTCTAAAAATATAAAGAATTGCATTAAATTATGCAAACAATTTAATTAACTTAATATTTGTGAACATACCGGTGCCAAAGAAGCGATACTAGAAATATGAATAATAGATCCATTAGTTTCCATGAGGTAGGGGACGGCTAAATGATTCAACGCCACGACTGCCCGGAGGTCTATATTGACGACATTGTCGTAGCTCTTCATAAAGTCTTTGTCCATCAGTTGAGACATAGAGCCGACGCCCGCGTTATTCACCAATACATCAATCTTTCCGTAAGCTTTGATCGTCTCATTCAATAGGAGTTGCAAATCATCACTTTTAGTCAAATCTGCCCTTACTTTCAATGGCTTTATAATGCAATTTAATATTAAAACTAATTATTAACCAGGTACCTTAATATAAGTTATAATTTAGTACAGAATCAACACATACTTTGAGATGATAGGGCGACAATTCCTCCACTTCTTTGGCTACTTTATCGATTTCGGTGACATTCCTACCGGTGACCACTACCTGAGCGCCTAATATGGAGAACAGTTTGACAATACCCTCCCCAATGCCAGAACTACTTCCGGTCACCAAAATGGATTTGCCCGTAAAGTTTCGCGACTGTTTCACCTCCAGGTAGTCATCAATTGGGTAATCATTGAAGTAAATGGTGTTTCCATTCACTATAGCTATGAGTGGCAATAAGTATAATAAATACATTTTTCAGAGAAATTAATAACAATTTTTTATTTATTATCAGAAATTCAATAAAAAGTTAATTGTTTTTTCATTTGTATTGGGTTTACAATTGTAGACTTCGACTTATATATAAAATATGGGTTAAACTTTTTATCGACAAATCTGTTTGGTTTCCACTTTTATTTGTTTTTGTGGATATTTGTATCATTTATAACAATTAGCTATTAATCGAGATATTAGTGTACTTTATCTATGACATAGATTCCATGTTCAAGTTAATCCCCACTTATAATTTAAGGCAAACGAACCCTTTAAAGGACTTTACTTTGAAAAATATTTTATAATACAATAGTAAAAGTTATTCTGATATTGATTAGCAATTAACCTTCAATTGTACAAAAATTATCATGATTACAGGTATTTCTGTACAATGATTAACTTAAATCTGTACTTTAATAATAGATTTATTAATTTTTAAAATTTAAACTTTAAATAAATTAAGATTAAGAATTTTAAATTGAAAGCCTAATCAAACAAAATTAAGATTTAGGGTAAACTTTGAATTAAATTCATTATTTTACATAAGTTTTAATTGTTAACGTATAAATTATATTAAACATTAAATAAAAGTTTTTTTAAACAATTATTGTTGGTTTAAATAATTTATTCAAGACTTGACAAATAAATATTACAATTTGGTCGCAAAATTGTCTGCATTGGATCCGATGATGTGATCGACAAAGAGTTGGGATCTTATAACAACTTATGTCGATATAAAGACTCATTTTTTGCAGTGTTTTACAGAGATCTGAGACAACAAGACATTGGATGCGATGTTTGGATGCAATGAGTGGTCAGAAGGAAGGACTGGTCAGCGAATGTGAAGAGTTGGTCAGCACTTGAGGTTATTGTCGCGAGTCCTTCATAGCTGGAGTTACTATAAGAATAAGGGCTCCGGTATGTGAAGGGGTCGGAAAAGGGACATCAAGTGCTGGGTTTCTGTTTTGTTATAGGAATCAGTGGACGGATGTCATCGATACGAGTGGTTTGATGGCTCTCATTGGGATAGCATTTGTAGTTGCATTCAGTGGACAGGGATTAACATCGAAATCAACACAATATTTATGCTTTACTTTAGATAGGATGTGGTCAGCACTGGAAGTATCTGATAGCGAGTCCTTAGCCTTCCATCAGGACATCGATTGGCAACTAATCTCTGAAGACATCATTGAACTCATTGTAAGTATTTATTCAAACATATGACTCAAATGAATGCCAACTCTTTGTGATCACATCATTGGATCCGCAATTGACACTCAAATGCAGACAATATATTGAAATTTAAAATTATAAATGACTCAAGAATTTACAATTTGTATTATACTGTAATGTTATTTTAAAAACTATATTATACTTTTGCATTATATAACGAGTCCCCCATCTATGACAAGATTAGCGCCGGTAATAAACTGGGCGTCAGTTGAGGCCAGGAATGCCACTCCCTTTGCGATGTCCAACGGCTGTCCAATACGTTTGAGTGGTGTGACACTTGCTATGGCTGCTAGTTCTTCAGGGGTCAGTAACTTTCTTAATGGTTCAGTGAGTATAGCACCGGGACTTATAAATGATAATATGAACAAATATATTGTAATTAACAAAACAATTTCGATCCAATAAAAGGCATACTTAATGGCATTCACTCTGATGTTTGGCCCCAACTCTACGGCCAATGCTTTGGTCGCGTAATCGACAGCTGCTTTGGATGCGCCGTAAGCTAACTGTGCTTTCCTCTGACATTGCAAACAAATTTGAAAATATTTTTGGCAAATCCTTTGTATAAATCCTATATTAATAAATACCGGTAAATATGATGCTATACTCGACGTACTAATTATAGTGCCATTTGTGTGTTGTAGGTATGGGATTGTCAGCTGAATAAGCTGTAGCCCCGCCCTTAGATTTACATTAAATATTTGGTCAAAGGTTTGGGTAAAGTTTGCGTCTCTAATTGAAGCACTCAATGAGATACCGGCGTTATTGACCAAAACGTCTAACTGTCCAAACGTGTCAATGGTTTGGTTTACCAGTCCTTCCAAGTCCTCTGTTTTAGTCAAATCCCCGATCACTGCTAACGGCTATTCATAAACTGCATTAAATGTCATTTTTATTCATTTATTTATTCATACCTTTAGTCCTTTTGGTGATACCTTTTGTACTTCTTGTGCCACTTTGTGCACTTCATCGGCTCTCCTACCGGTGACCACCACATGAGCGCCTAATATAGAGAACAGTTTGACGATTCCCTCCCCGATTCCAGAACTACTTCCGGTCACCAAAACTACTTTTCCCGTAAAGTTTCGCGAGTTTTTCACCTCTTCGTAGTCATCATTATTGATGTCATAATAAATGCTTGCGTTTACTATTGTAATAATAGCTAGTATTAAGAAATATTGGGAAATCATTATTAAAAATTTAAATTTAAAACACAATTATAAAAATAATAATTTGTTAAATTGATATTTTGATTGTGTGGTATATTTATGTAAGAGAAATATATACTATACATTATACCAATTTTGCAGTATTTATATTATTTGTACTTTTGTAGTTTAATGAAAATGCGTGAGAATTAACAGTGAATTTGATAAGTTTATTTGATAAAATTATTATAACAATTATTAAATTAACATTATATGTGTTCAATAAATAAGTTGTACAGTATTTATATTGTCATATCTGATAGACCAAAATCAAACGTATATCTGAAAAGTTGCTTTTATTTCTTATTGAAACATTGCTTTTCTGTAAAGTTTGAAATTTATAAAGTTTAATATAAGTAATTTTCAAACTTTACAGAAAAGAATGTTTCAATAAGAAATAAAAGCAATTGCTTTTCTGTAAAGTTTGAAATTTATAAAGTTTAATATAAGTAATTTTCAAACTTTACAGAAAAGCAATGTTTCAATAAGAAATAAAAGCAACTTTTCAGATATACGTTTGATTTTGGTCTATCAGATATGATTATCTATACTGTACAGTTCGTGTGATTTTAAACATAAATACAAGTCAGCAATGTACTTTAAATAACTAATTTTTATAGTGAACTAAACTGTCTGATAAGCGTAGTGAGATAAAGCGATTTTCTACTATTGTATCAAAACCGGTACAAGAAGTTAAAGTATAGATTTAAGTAATTATTTTCTATAAATTCTGATTAAAATTGTATGAATTTTTGATTGCTTTTTGAATTTTAGTAGTTTTTAAAAGTTAAAAGTTTTGTTTGAATTTGCTTTTGGCCGCACTTTTGCGGTAAGTCGTCCGCTTTGACCCAACCTCTAGTTTAAGGAAACAATGAGTCGGGGGCTGATGGGAGGTCTTTGGGAAACGAGGTACGGCTTACCATAGCCCCGGTATAGCAAAGGTGTACGGCTCACAGACCGTCCCCTCACATGAATTGATTATAAACTTTATTTATATCTATCGATTAGAACTATAAGTCCTATAAATAATAATTGCAAACATCAATTAATTATCATTTATTGAAAAGTCAGTCATTTGTTATCGTAATAATGATTATAGCTCTCTAAAACATATCTATATTTAGGTTTCTGTATGTGTTTTACCATATTAGTTATTCTGTCTCTGGTCCTAATTATTCTCAGGCCGGTAACTTAGGTATCATCGCTTGAAAATACCGGTGAATAGGGAGGCAGTGATGAGGGGAGTGATGGCTTCGATGGCCGCCAAACAACTGAACACTTTTCCCAATTCAGCCGACGATACCATTTTCGAGAAGTGCGAGCGAATGCCTATGGATGCCATACCACCCAAACAGCCGGGTATTAATGCATAGTAGTATCCCTCGGATGACAATACAATACCACGGATTAAATGGAGTAAGAAATATGAGACAATGCCTATCATCGATAATGTCATGTCTTGGACACGGACTACCTTTAAAAGTATAGGTGCCGTAAATGTAGTTCCCAGTGCGATGGCTATGCATGAAATAGCGGCCGCATTGCTGTAAGTCATTGAATCCCATGAATAGACTTTCTGTGAGAATGGATACATGAATATAATGGGCCCGATGTGTGCCAATAGATAACAGGCCATCGATACAAATAATAGCCATATCTGTAGGCGAACCCAATTATCTCGACTCTTACAGCAGGTTTTGAACATTTGTTTGACATTATTGAAATTGACCAATAATTTGACTGGGTGTTTGTGCTTATTCTGGTGAAACACTAGCATTTTATTTGTCACTTCATTCTCGCAGCTATAGTCGTCATCATTGGATACCATATTAAAAGTGTTGAGCCATTGCTTGATATCTCGTTTTTCGCTCACCATATAAATAACCCATAGAAGTGCCAACGAGTATACGAGACCATTGATTATGAATACCCCGGTGTAATTACGCCACTGTCCACTCGAGAATATTGGCTGTGTGTTCAATACTAGGCCACCAAAATAAATACCCAGTGGATTAGCTAATTAAATATTCATTCAAATTTTTTTCATGTTATTTATATAAGTTGAAATTTATAATATAATTCATATTGTGTTATTATTGTCTTGTATTACCAATCCCAATAGTGATTTCTGCCATGGTCATTCGCATGGCACGCATATGGGAGGGGGTTGTCGAGGCAATGTACGCCCAGACAGCGGTGAATTGGGCTATTATTCCTCCGGTACACATACCAGGTAGCAGTGATATCAGGATCAAGTGATATGCTAGATAAGGGATTTAATGGTAATTAAATATAATTTCAGATTTATGTAATGATAAATTTAACAAGTATTTGTTTAACATGGCAAATATGAATTCTTAATAAACCATGCTAATAAATCATTATAAACCCCGATTAAAGTATATTGCATTGTACAATATACAATTTTATAACAAGTAACCTGTGTTTTATCAAATAATGTAGTCTCACATGAATTGAAAAAATAATCGTTGAAAACAAGTATAATTGCCTCCAAAATAGCGGCCACAGCACTGGCTAATAGTAATATCTTTTTAGCTTGAACATAAGTATCAGTCCAGGCGCCAATGAACAGGGTGGTGATCAGGGTAGGTATAGTCATCATTAGTGTTGAATATAGCGTGAAATTGGAGCAGTCCTTCAGTATAATTGATTTCATGTGAATAGTGTCCTCATCGTCAGACATTGTGGACAGTTGTGTGCAATAGGTTGTGTCCAATTGATAAGTAAATAGACAGATCTTGTCCTGGATCAGTTGATCAGTCGGCACTTTTTTAAGTGATGCCACAAATATAAATGCAAATAAATACGGCTCCACTCGTAGCAGACATATGAACTCATAAAATTGAAACCATTTATATTTGAATCCACTTTTAGGTTTATAATTAGGTTTTAGCGTATTGTGTATCATTGCAATGCTGTGTTTAATTAATAGTTATTTAAATTTATAATAAATAATTGTATAAAATATTAATTAGAAAATAGGTTAAAAACGTGTTTAGTAAGCATACATTGATAAGTGTTTAAATGATAACTTCATATACTGTAACATACTAAAAATAATTGTTGCTTTTTATATACCCTGATAGTTAAGCGATTAAACATTTTTATTGGTGACCAATAAATCACAAAAATCTCACTGAACATCTGATAAAATCTAGTAAAATACGTATTATATGTCGTATATGTCGATGTATTGTGTTATTAAAATTACATAAAACACACGACACAATCCAGTTCCTCATTGCACTATAATTAATAAATACAAACAATTTGATGATTCATATTATTTATTAAATAATTATTAATTTAAGAAAATAAACTTAAATTTTTAATTTATGTGTCTCTAAACGACCAATCTTCAATTTTAGCTTATTATAGGCACTACTCTAGTACTCGATGGGGCCGTTAGGTATGAGTCTAACTAAAAGTCTAATTAAAATGTATTAAAAAATCTTTTTTGTGAAATAAAAAGTCTATTAATGAGAAGTATGTCATTATCAGTATCTATTAGTTTATAAATTGCTGTTTAAATTGGGAAATTTTATTTATCAACTATAAAGTTTTTTGAAATATATTAAAACACAATCTAATAGTTTTTCTCAATTAATAGCACCGGTATTCAGGTATATTTATATCTGAAAAAGCAAAACAAATTGAGGCTTGCAAAAAAGCCTTAATTTTGTCTTTCAACATTAAATATTTCTTACATATTTTGAAAATATTTTTTTGCAAGCTCCAATTTGTTTTACTTTCTCAGATATACAGTATAAGGAATTATTTTTGTATAAGTTTTACTTTTGTACGATAAGAATGCATTTGAAATGTATGATTAAAACCCACTTATAATCATAAGTACAGTAATGGTATGAAAACGAGTGGTGAGACTCAAGTCATGCAAATTTCGTTCACCTCTTGGTTACGACCAAAAAGTAAAGTCAAAAGGTGTTTGGGATTCCTTCACGTATTCCAGACGTCTAATGAACTCATTATACTGTGGCTCCCATTCCCTCACGTGTAACACCACTGGATGGGCATTAGAGGCAATCCCTCCGATCCCGAGAATATCACCTGAAGGTTATATAGAGGTTAGGGTGTCCTTCACTACCAATACTATTTTGGTCATACCTGTAGAGAGTTTAGACATTTAATTGTTGGATTCCTTTAATAGCCTAGCTGCATTTATTTTCCCACAATATTGATCACTTTAACTGTTTTACTAAAATATAGTATATATGAATTTAAATTTAAATTTAATTAAATATAAGGGAAGGTATAAATTAATTTCTAATTACAAAGAACTCTAGTTGTCAGAGATCTATATTTCTATAAAATTATAATAATATTTATTTATTATTTTTTTAATATTGCTAAATAGTAAATGACTAGTAAATAGTATTGATGGAAATATCAATAGATCTTAATATTCAATCATAATTTGAATAAAAACCATTAACAAAAGATTTTAATAAAAATGTAGACATTTTATTATTATTAACAAGTGAGTTACATTTTCCTGAAAGTTAATTTAAATTCAAATGTTTAAATAGCATATTATAGATTTTATCAACCAAAATAGCGTTAAATTAAAAATTTATTCAGTAAAATAGCATTATATATGAAACACAATAAATTTTCATATAAATTAATTTACATTAATTCTACACAAAAAACCCCTAAAGTTGTGACAATAAACACTAATATAAATATTTACTACCTATTAAAATGTTTGGTTTATAAAAAATGACAATAATACATTATTTGCTTAATGTTTGTCTCAACTAACAAACTGTGAGAAATAAATGTTTAAAAATATAACTTTAATTAACATTAAATGTCATGTTTATTGTGATACTCTTATCCGATGAGTAGTAAATATTTATATTAGTGTTTATTGTCACAACTTTAGG